ACTCTTTTATGGTCCAGTTGTACTTATTTGATAGCAAAGAATTGGAGAAGTCTTTGCTGCACGTGAGTGGTGTGATGAATGGCCAAGGGTAGGGTATCAGCCATTCTAATGAAAATGGCATTTTAAAGAATATATGCTATTTATGAAGGCCTGTTTACATCCATATAATTTGCATGCTTCAAGTTGCAAGCTGTTGGTCACTCCTTCAATGGATGAAGGCATCGTTGAAAAGGCTTACATTTCACATTTTTTAAAAGACCAGAAACTAGTAAGTGACGATGTTCAAACAGACTTCATTGCACTTGTTTAATAAATGCAGAAAGTTAGCCCTCAGAGACAGCAATCAAATTGGAAGTGGCTCAGTGGTTAGCACTGCTGCCTCACAGTGACAGGGACCCGGGTTCGATTCCACCCTCAGGTGACTGTCTGTGTGGAGTTTATACATTCTCCCCGTGTCTACGTGGGTTTCCTCCAGGTGCTCTGGTTTCCTCCCACAGTCCAAGGATGTGTGGGTTAGGTGGATTGGCCATGCAGGCATTAGCTCTCACACCTCTACAGGGGAAGAAACTAACAGTTTGATGATGTCTAGTAAGTGGTTAAGGTGTATTCTATTCCTAATGTTCAAAACAGTACGGGAACTGCTGATAAAGTTAATAAAATAAACATAAGAGGGAAAGAAATAATTGAATAAAATAATAAAACAGTTAATTGAAACACATTAAGGATGGCAAGACAGGCGATGTGCCATGGCTGCAGTGTATAGTAGGTCTTTGGTGCTGGAGTAATGCAGGACATTACCTGGATGGATTTGTACCAGGAGGCAGTCACACACATTAGGATAAGATAATCTGATTTGTCATTGGTCAGGGACTAATGGATGTGACGACAAAGGAGGCAGGTAAGGGGACACACAGGACAGAAGCTAAGGAAACTCAACCTTTTGTAATTTTACAAGAGCACTGAGATTATTTCAGCTTGTTTGGATGGGAGTGAGAACTGCAGGTGGATGTACTAACTGAACTTGGCACCATGCTACAGGAAGCCATTCAAGTGGCCGGATCATAAAGGAATGCAGCATTAGCTGGACACTGTATAGTGAGGAGCATTGACACTGTTCTCTGCAGCACAGAGCAAGAGCTCAGGTGGTTGTGTCACCATGTCTGGTGCAAGGTTTCAGGGCATCTGCTCAGGGCTGGACAGGAACTTACAATAGGAGGGGGAAGTTTCAATTGTTGTGGTCCATGTATATAACAATAAGGCAGTGCAAATAAGAACAGAGGAACAAAAGCATGCCTCAAAGACTGGGGCGGGAGAGGCAAATTCCAGTTCACATGGCACTGGCAGCAATTGTGATAAAATGGGATTCATGCCACTGGGAGAGTGTACAGTTGAACTGCACTGGGACTGATGTTCCAGCATAACTAGGGAAGGTAGAGAGGATTTAAAATTAATTGGTGAGGACATGTGATCAAAGTTGATGTCATCAGCCAAAGAGTAGAAACAAAATGATAAAGGTATTAACACAGGAAATACAAAATAATATGTGACAGAAAAGAATGGAAAGTACAGTTAACCAACAGATTAGGATAGAAGCTGCAAAAATAATAAAAGAATGGAATTAAATCATAGAATCCCGACAGTGTGAAATCAGGCTATTCAGCCCACACCAATCCTCCAAAGAGCATCCCACCCAAACCCACTCCCCTTACCCTATCTCTGAAACCCTGATTGCCACGTCTAATCCAACTAGGCTGTACATCCCTGAACACTATGGGCAGTTTAGCATGGCCAATCCACCTAACCTGCACATCTTTGGACTGTGGGAGGAAACCGGAACACATGGAGAAAGCCCACACACAAAACAGGCAAACTCCACACAAACAGTTACCCAAGGTTGGAATCGAACCCGGGTGTTTGGCACTTCGAGGCAGCAGTGCTAACCGCTGTGCCACCGTGCTGTCCAAAGCTCTGTTTCTGAATGCACACAGCATTTGAAAAAAATAAGTACAATCTGCAACCATTACAGAGACATGGCTGAAGGCTGGCACAGATTGGGTCTTGTACAGAGAGGGATGACCTAAAATCAGAAAACCAGGATGTAGAAGTGGTTTAGATGGAGATTAGGAATAATAATAGCAAGAAGTCAATTTGGAAACAGTGTATAGGCCCCCAACAGAAGGCAAAAATTAAGATCAAGTATGAAGTAAAAAATAGTGAGAGCTTGTCAGAAAAGTATGGCAATAGTCATAGATGATTTGAATCAACATATAGACTTGACAAATTAGACCATCTGGAAAGGCATGCTAGATGATGGGCTCATGGTATGTTTTTGGAATAGTTTCTTCTGAGCTGTATATTCTGGGTTCTATCCAGAGACCAAACTATGCTAGACGTGAAATTGTGCAATGAGGTACGATTAATTCATGAATTCACAGTTAAGGCACCCCTATGGAACACTAATCATGATCTGATTGGATTTTATATTCATCTTGAGTGAGAGAGGATGAGTGTGTCCAAAATCTCAAAATTTAAAATTTAAAAACTGGTATTTGAAACTTAAAATTTAACATAATGTTTTGAACTTAAATGAAGGTGTTACCCAAAGCCAGCTGAAGAGAACTAGTGAATTAGTTGAAGGGATAAGTGAATACAGATGAAAGGTTGTCAGGGATAGACCAGAATGTGGATTGAGGTCACCATCAGATCAGCCATGACCTTATTGAATGGTGGAGCAGAAATGGCTGACTCTTGTTCCTTACTCATATTGTTGTATGTATTTTACAAGAAATACTGTATACAATGAATAATGAAAAGATTTTATTTTAAATAATGAATCATTCCCTTTCTGATTTTCAACATAATAGTAAACAGAAGCGTCTGTTGTGTGTTAATACCATCCAAAAAAAAACAGCAGCTGTTTGGCAACCATCGAGGTCGGGTGAGAGGGGTATAATTGCACAAATAACCTGTAGCCATGGTGTGAATGAGAACAGAGCATGAGGTGGTTAAAATCAGACCAGGCCCTGAAGTTTTCATCCCTTTCATTATACTTTCACACGTGCTGAGGCTTGCTGTTAGCCAGCAGAAGGCTGAGGAATTCAGTACATCTCATTATTTAGCTTCCTTGTAGGCCACAAGGAGCTGTTTTACTCCTTTAGCCAATCCCATCCACATTCCCAGCCATCACTCACAACTCCTCACAACACCCACTGCCACACCCCACCCTTACACCACCCAATCCCCTGTTACCAGAACTACCTACAGAACATATAAGTAACTGCTGAGGACCAAGTTTATGAGTCTCTGATTCGGTTACACAATTTTTCTTCCTGCCCATTGTCCTCTACATCATTCCCAAAGGATTTAGATGGGATTCAATCCTGGGTTATTGTAATGGAGGTAAAATGGCTGATATGGACTTACAAGCTTGCTATTCACCTGGTCAGTCACATCCAATGTGAAGCCTACCCAATCAAAAAGGTCATATAGCCTTGTTAAGAATATATGTGTTAGAAATGTGGTCAAGTTAAGAATATCAACTTCCCTGTGTTGCCACATGACAACATCTTCAAACGTAAGGTTCTTCTTGGATTCAGTATCATATGAGTGAGTTCCGTCCTCCTGCAGCAGCCTTCATTACACACTTATCAACAAAACAATACTTCTACCTGTTCTACAGGAATTGGAGCATTTAGATATGTAACCTAAAACATTTATAGAACCAATTACTTTCTTTGAAGGTACAACTTTTCTTTTCTTTCCCTATTTTATGTTAATAAGGTTATTTTGGCCTATGTCAAAACTGTGCTCTAAATGTGTGACGTGTTATTAAGATTGGTAAGTTTGGAAGATTAGGTTTAGCATAAAATTATCAACTTAATTAGAACTCACCAGGCAGTGCTAAACCAAAAACCTGCACTCAATAGTTGATTACACAGTATTTTCGTCGAATGACGTCCTTGCACACATATCCACTGAAGATGGAGTGTCATCTGTCAGGCACAGTGAGGTACATTCTGGAATATTCAGGGTTCACGTTCCCAGGTTCTTAGATATGAGGTCCTACTGGAGGAGGTCCTAGTTGAGGATGGCATGGTGGCACAGTGCTGCCTCACAGTGCCAAGGACCCGGGTTCAATTCCAGCCTTGGTTGAATGTCTGTGTGTAGTTTGCAGATTCTTCCTGTGTCTGCGTGGGTTTCCTTCCATGGTCCAAAGATGTGCAGCTTAGTTGCATTGGCCGTGTAATGCCCTAAATTGCCCCATAGCGTGAAGGCTAGGTGAGTTAACTATTGCAAATGTGGGTTTACAGGGTTAGGGGGAGATGCTCTTTGGAGGGGCAGTGCAGACTTGATGGGCTGAATGGCCTCTATCTGCACTGCAGGGATTCTACAAGTGTAGTGGAGAAGTCCAGAGTAGGAGGTATGCTCATCCTGCAGGGGAGGAAGATGTCACTAAATCCTCCTGTCACTCCTATTTCTTGTTCCTGCAGCAGATGGTGCTGTTCTCCTTGGCCTCCTACCTTTGTCCCATTTCTCATCCAGATCAAGAGGACATTCCCTACCAAGATGCCCATGGCAAAGTAGTCCCTTGCTCATGATGACTCAGTAACTGTCCAATAAGTTAGAGTCGGACAGCACTTCATTCTTTTTGATAAAGTGTTCAGATAAACTCCATTAAACTGTTGCTCAAGTGTCAGTGCAGTCTTGACAAAGTGTCCCAGTAACTTTTCTGACATGTTTCAAAAGTTGTCTTTAAATCTTCTATAGCGAATGTGAGTATCCCTTTAAGTAATGTTTAAAAGTGACATGACCAAATATTTACTTCGAAACAGTTTTTATATTGAGAAAGGGGGTTAGCTGAAGTGTTAGCTAGTGTTCAGTAGATGTAGGATAAGAAATAATGCAGTCTTTTTGTGAATAACCAATACAATGCTTTTTAATATTAAAATAGCTTTGTTGCATTACAGAGTTTTTTTTTAAAAACACTAGTCACCCATCGTTTAGGATGTTTGACACTGCACACCGCCTCTAGACCTTTGATCTTCCTCATACACTTCCCCACTATAACCTCTGTGTTGCTCTTCTGAGACACATTGTGTTAACTCCACAGGTTCCATGTCGTCAGTGATCATTAACTCTTGATGTGGTGGAAGCAAATCCTCCAATATTGCCAAGTCTTGTGGTGGAATCCAGCCATATGGTGGAAACTTCACCGAGAACTGAATGATCAGCAGTCCTTTCTCAAATGGATCTCTGTAAATAGGCATACCTTCATTACGAACACATTTAAGGCTTCCAACTTTTAGAACTTCACCTGGCTTTGAAGAAATCAGCAATGTCCTTTTGTCAAGTGTTCCTATTGTCCTTTTAAAACCACATAAAGCTTCCACCAGCAGGATTTCCATTTTCATTACCAAGTCATTTCCATGCCTTCGGAATACATCGTGGTCCTTTTGATCAAGCACAATGATGACATCACCAGGTTCTAATCCAGGCTCCTGATCCCCCTCTCCATGGAATGTTATCTTCTGTCCATCTTGCATACCTTTGTCTACATAGACTTCAAGTATTTTTCTCCCTTTAACTATTTTCCGTCCATTACAATTCTTGCATCGGTCTTTTGGATTAATCTGTTCTCCCTGTCCATGGCATTCTGAGCACATTGTCTGAATCTGCTGCACCATTCCAGGTCCAATTTGTTGTACATGGATTTCAATCCCTCTGCCTTTGCAGTTTGGACACTTTTCCACAGCACCTTTCTTGCCTCCACAGCCATCACATTTATCACAAATTACATTTTTCTTCAATGCCAGCTTCCTTGTGGCTCCATTGTAAAGATCTTCAAGTGAAACAGCCAACTGGTGAACGACATCCTTGTTGTCATTGGTAGCTACTTTAATAAAGGTTAGTTGGCATTTAAGATGGTCATTGCAGATTAGAAAGGGTCCAGGTGTCCATCCTAGCTCTGGCTTCAATTCCTTTACCAAGATGGCAGGAGGAACAGGCTAAAGCTACATTGTAGCATGAGAGCCCATCTCAGTCAACCCAGAAGCTCTTCATCCCCTCATCCCAGAGTTATAGAGCTTTCCAGCGCAGTTAAAGGTTTTTTGGCCTGTTGCAACCCTGCCAGTCAAAAACAACCACCTAACTATCCTGATTGTAATCAGGGAAAATCAAGTCCTATGTGTTAAATGCTTAAGGATCTTATGAAATTTGTTCTTGAAGAGCAAAACATTAAAATACCAGGGATATCCCTACAGAAAAGTACGATATTTCAAATTTGTTCACTTTTCTGTTCCATATGCCCAGGTTTATTTGCTGTCTGACCACGTATTCTATGATACTTATTTTGAAGACTTTTTTTTATAACTTTTCCCTCTGAACTCTATAATGTATCCTTCATAGATTACATTTAACATTCTCGCTTGAACCTCCATGCTGTACAACTGCTGAAGGGTTCAGCGTTGGGAATGAATTTTGGGAGCAAAGCAGTTCAGCAAAACATGTTTGTAAATGGAGGAGCCAATGAGCAGAATGCAAAAATGTTTGTTTAACTTCTAGCTTAATAAGTTTTGGTAGAAAAATAACATAATTCTTCTGAAAGATTCATCAGCTCCAAGATTAAATCAAATTTTCACTGCAATCTATCTTTATAACAGTGATTGTAGAATGTGATTAACAATTCTCCAGACTGGAATTCCTGAACAGCAATGGCCCAATGGTAATATTGTAGCAGTAAATCAAAGAGTATTAGAAAAATGGGACCATTTATCAGACTCTAAAAAGAGGGGAAATTAATGTTGAGGTCTTGAACACTCAGTTCACTGTTACCCTCTCCCATTCTCTGTTGCCTAGTCTAATGGGATAGTGAAGATCAGATGGAAAATGATGAGGAATAAATGTGATCTGTAAGCATCAGAGTCTGCTGTTGTATTTAAATAAAGAATGTCAACATTTACTCTTTCGAGAAACTTTACCTGTGTAGATAATTCAAACTCTTTTATTCTACATAATTCCAATGTTGAAAACAAAATACTTTTGCATGTGCTTGCAAAGAAAATGTTTGAATGGGTTCTCAAACATTCTTCCTTCCATATAAATTCAACATATGTTCCTGAACTCCTAGTCAATTTTATTAAATGCATATAATTATGTTTTTCTTTAGGGTAGTCACTGGAGTAAGTCATTAAGCCCTATCATGTTATTTTGTTATGTTATCATGACTGCAATGTTTTCTATCTTCATTTAATTTCTGAACCAGAGAGTGCCAGAATGGATTTGTAAAGGTTGTCTCATGCCTGACTGATTGAATTTTTTGAACAGATGACTAATGTAGTGGACAAGGGAACATTATTCATAAATAAATTCTCAAAAGTATTTGACAAAGTTGTTCAGATGCAATTGTTAAAATAATTAGCAACTCATGGAACTGAAGGCAGATTATTGACCTGCCTCAGGAACTGGTTGAGTGGCAGATAACCAAGAAGAGTGAGAATGGATAGGCACTCACAGTAGCTACAGGTTATGCACCCACTTTGGCTAATGGATAGGCACCCACAGTGGCTAATGGATACGCACTCACAGTGGCTAATGGATAGGCACTCAATGTGGCTAAAGGACAGACATTCACATTGGCTAAAGGATAGACACTCACAGTGGCTAATGGATAGACACTCACAGTGCCTAAAGGATAGACTCTCACAGTGGCTAATGGATAGATCCTCACAGCGGCTAATGGATAGACTCTCACAGTGGTTAAAGGATAGACACTCACAGTGGCTAATGGATAGATCCTCACAGTGGTTAAAGGATAGACACTCACAGTGGCTAATGGATAGACACTCACAGTGGCTATGTGTGATTATTGCGGTGGAATCTTGTCAGGGTCTGGGTGATGTGAGCCAAGCTGAAATGTATGGCAGAATTGGATAAGAAGTGTGGCATGGCCCATCTCAACATTAAGGCCAACCAGTGCCATCTTTCTGCTTTGTGCAAACAATGCTGTGAGATTCTCATCAGGCATTTGGAGGGTGCCAATTATTGTTCGTTAAATGCCATGTTGACTGCAAATTTTGCCTCATTAATATTCAGCTTTCTCTTTATCATACTTGCCAAACAACACAGATGTCATGAAAACACCACATGGAAACCAGAACATGTATCTGCTCACTTCAGCTTGACACTTCATTTTGCATAGGACAAAACAGTTATTCAGGGCAGAAATCCACAATTACCGGCCCCACACACCCCTCACACATGAACACTGGCATCCAACATCTGCCACCCCATTGTAACCATCACGGTACCTCTTCTATATACTGGCAGGTCACCAATGTAGTACCTACTCACATTGCAGGGCAACTCGAATTAAAATGCTGCAGCAGGGGCTCTTCACACACACAGGCAGGCAGCTCAAGGATTGGACCAGGCTGCGTCCTTGCTCGCTCTCTTCCCACTCAGTCACTTAGCACCTTCCTGCATGAGCATAACATCCATGTCTTACCATGCCATACCTGTTGCTACTTCAGCCAGCGAGTTGTTTTATCCCCATTTTGAGGTGCTCTTTTGAGATCGTGGGGTGGGCGTTGGTGCATCTTCATAGATCATAGAATCCCTACAGTGTGGAAAAAGGCCATTCGGCCCAACAAGCCCACACTGACCCTCAGAGCATCCCACCCAGACCCATCCCCTTATAACCCACCGAATCTACACATCCCTGAATACTACAGGGCAATTTAGCATGGCCAATCCACCTAGCCTGCACATCTTTGGACTGTGGCAGGAAACCGGAGCACCCGGAGGAAACCCACGCAGACATAGGGAGAATGTGCAAACTCCACACAGACAGTCACCTGATGGTGGAATCGAACCCAGCTCCCTGGTGCTGTGAGGCAGCAGTGCTGACCACTGAGCCACCGTGCCACTGTCTGTGTGGGTTTCCTCCGGGCGGCATCTTCATATATGGTATTCTGAGACATCAATCTAACATCTACAGTTTTTGCCAGCTGCATGCACAGCAAGCACACTGCACATTTATGCAACCAAATGGCCAAATTGGAAATTGGATGGGACTAGTCCTCAGTCCACTCATGGGAAGGGGTGTGATCAGAGCGTCTTGTTACCAATGCTCGCAGGCACAGTCTGCTCACAGTCCAGGGCCTTTGCTGCTGACAGCTGTCCACATGGGTCTCTCAAATTCAGGGGATCTGTCCAACTACTCAGTTCTGTAGCACTGGATAATCAGTTCTGTCAAGCCATTAACAGCAGTCAGGGGAACTGTGTATCATTGGTCAGGGAGCTACGAACACAGTGGTCAGGGGTCTGGTCAGACCAGTCTGGGGGCTGCTTTTTAAAACTAAAACAAAAATTGCTGGAAAGACACAGCAAATCTGGCATCAACTGTGGAGAGAAATCAGAGTTAATATTTCAGGTCCACTGACCCTTCTTCAGAGCTGGCTATTGAAGTTGGTCGGAGATTGCCATGGTTAGAAAACAGGGCATAATCCTATTGTAAGATATTGGATAAGATACTCAGAAAAATGCAGCAAAGTATTACCCAGATGCAGTGCAATTGTTAAATATCTGAGAACATGGAATCCCTCTCTGGTGGAATACACAGCGCTAGTGAATACCAATTATATGCAACAGAGAACAAATGAACAGGAATTTAATTTCTGTGATTGAAATTTGGCAAAGCATTATCAATCACAAGTTACATTAGGATGGTGATTAATCTTACACTTGCAGACTGATGGTCTTCATTAGAAGTGACTTTTTCAGAAAATGTTGCTGAAGCTAATTAAGTGATTCATGTGTTTTGTGTTCCACCAAGGATAAAGATTAAACATTATAGCAAAAACTTTGTGGTTTAAGAACCTGAACAAATCTGTCATGAGGCAGACATAAATGAAGATACAAATGTTATTTTATCTACAATGCACATGGACAAATGTGCACATGAACCTATTTATTTTCAGGGCATCCATTTGTCAAATGCAACTTCACACCAATGTGTAAAACATTTAAAATATTAATAACTTAAATAATAGATAGCATTATAAATATGCATGCTATGTTTCATATGTAGGGAACAAATGTTTACCATCTTATCAACATATCAAATTAGACTGACCCTGTATGAAAGCCTGTATCTCCAATTACATCAAATAGTTTACTTTAGAAAATCACAAACATGAAGCAACGATTATCCTTTGCCTTCGTGTCTGTGTTTGAGGTGAAACTTACTAATAATCTTGCATAATCTGTGGTGTTCTGTGCAAATATAAAAAGCTCTAATGAGTTAAACTAACTGTTTGCTGGATACCCTTTACATCTGTCAGGATAAGTTGTAATTATAGCATTAGGGACTCACACCAGATGACAATATTCTATCCGCTGCTCTTACAAAGTTTGCTGAATGTAACCGAGAAGCATTATTCCTTGAATTACCCAATTATCTTTTAAATTATAAAAGTCAAATCTACACCACCAACTGTTCCCAGAACTACCAGAATGTCTGGTGTTGCACACTGTACTAAAATGTAAACAAAACAGCTCCATTAAAATAGGGAAAAAAATCAGGTCTTTCACATTCCACATTCCCAGTGGCTTCAATCAAGGGAGCACTTTGCAAATAAACTAAGTCAGTGCAACTAATAAACTCCTGCTCTAATTACTGGCTGCAGTTGTATCAACTGAAGCAAATGAGAAACGTGCAACCATTAATTATCTAATGAGGCCAACAATACATCAGTTGAGGTGGATCTGATTAAATATTAAACAGCAGCATATGGTGGGTACTGTGAAGAGAAGTCTGGAATCAACACACATGGAAGAATAATCTACATCATTCTGAAAAGCCAGTTATAAGATAAACATATCAACAAAATAAAGGTGAATAAGTTCAAAATAGACAGATAAAAATGAATATATTTACAGCAAAGATCAATTGCTGAAACTTGGTTATGTCATAATTGTATATTTTTCTATCAATGTGCTTAAGTGTTATAACCTGTTTTTTTTAAATAGCCTGCTCTTTAAACTCATAAGTGGTTTAAGCTATCAGTGCAGGTTAAAATATGCTGTCTACTGGGTAGCTTTGATTGATTGACAAGTCATCTTGTATAAGTTATAAAAATTACGACGATCTGATCCACAATTTCAATAGGCTTATATGTTGGTTTTTTTTCCTGTTATTTTGCTGATATGAAAGCTTGGCTGAATTTCAAATGTTTTAATTGTTTGAGCTAGGTGTTTAAGTTCATAAACTAATTGACAGTTTAAAGAGGGTATTAAAGAATTATCTGACTTTCTTGAAACTACTAGTTTGTTTTCAGATTAATCATTCAAGATGTTTAAAAGACTTTCATGGTCATGAGTTCTTTCACTATCAAGTATGAATTAAATATGTATATTGTTGGAAGTGTTCTTCATCGCCACAAGGCTCTTAAGGTCTTCCCATTGTGGATACTGTGTGAGTAGCTGTGCAACTGGTATGGGAGCATGAGGGTGATTGGGATGAGTGGAGACATGGGTTGGCTTATGCATGGGGGTTTGAGGGGGAAATAGGATGGGTGGAATGAGATGTGATGTGAACAGTCAAGGACCAGAGGGCCTAATCACACAGTTTCTCATGCCCAGGAGTCCCAGAAAGGCAAAATCTAAGAAAATCAAGATCAACCTTCAAACAAGACTTGGCGCTCTTGCAACCCTGTGACCAGCAATGAGCTGCTTCCAAAATTAGCGGGTTCAATTCTATCCAACTCCAAGTCCCCCAGAGGAGAACTTGGATCTAACATGACCCTTTAAGCTGAGTTGGAACTACCATATCAGGACATCTATTGATTCCTGTTCTCTTGGTAACATAAAATTGGTCCAAGGTCTTTGATAGGATGAAAGAGAATCAAAGGGATGATGGTGTAGTGCTGAAAAGGGTGATAATTGGACAAGAAAAGAAATACAAGTTTAGAGATGCTGTAAGGAATCTGAGCAGTCCGCATTCATATACAAACTGTTTGGCAGGGTCCTCCATACAATGGGGCAGAGAATTCTGACAAGTAGGGTCATTGAATGTGTCTAAGTGGGCCTTTAACATAAAAACCTTTATTCTGAGAAGTGCAGCATAAATCATGTTAAGCAAAGATTGTAGGAAATTGCGAGTGCAGTGGGATTATTGAAAGCTTATTTCCAGCTCCACCCAACATCATTCTAGAAAGGCAGCATTTCATTGAGAGCATGTTATCAAATGTGCATGGTTCAAGGTGTGAGGCAATTAGCTCTGCTCCATTGTCTATTCTATGAAACATTAGATTGTCATTATCAATTGTGTTTAAAATTAAATTAAAATTAAAATTAATCTTTATTTTTGTTTCAGCTGAAGTGACCCCTGCTCTTGTTATACTCCTGGAAGGCATGTATTTTTCTGAAGAGAGACGTGTCAGACCCTTAAAATGTTGGGGATGTTTATGGCATATCAAATGCTTATTAAAAGTAGGCAGACCATTTGGAGGAAGAAGATGATTTCAGGCAGTTTCTTCTCCTGTGGGAAGATGCTCCCTACACCTGCCTACAAATGAAGTATTGGGGTCCGTGAGCTTCTGCATTTGATAATGTAAAACAGTGTAGAAAATAATAGGCTGGACTTTCTGAAGACTGGCAATCACATACAGATTTGGTTTTTTTTATTATTATTGAAATGATTGAGCTGCATGCTTCTGACAGGAAATTCCAATCAGGACTCCTTCCAAAAATGTGGAGTTTATTTCCATTTCTGACCATTTCCTTTATTGCGTAAAACAGTCAGGTAAGGCAAACCATGTCTCCTTTCTCACAGCAGCCAGTTACTTCATTCTGGAATTTAAAGGTCCAGCATCAATGACAGCCAGTTTAACAGCTCCTATGAAAGGATCAGTCTGCAAGATAAAAGTATGATTTTTTGATGCCAGGAGGGTAGTGTGCCAGGTGAATGGGGGTGGGTAGGGTGCCAGATAAGTAGAGTACCAGGTAGGTAGGGGATAGGGTGCCAGGCAGATAAAGCAGTAGGTGGATGCCAGATAAGAGTTATAGGTGGGTAGAGTGACAATCAATAGTGGATTGGGTGTCATGGAGGTAGGGGATCAGAGTAAAGTAAAATCAAGTGCCAAATAAACTGGGTGCCAGGCTGGTAGAGTATCAAGTGGGTAAGAGCTA